TAATGTTCGTACTTACCTACTTAATCCCCCGATCACTAGATCAAGATCACGGGAGGATTAATTAATAATACCCTGACCGTATGTGAATAAGCGGAAACATCGTTTCCACTAATTCCCAACGGATCAGGATATTATTACAAATAAACGTGAATAAATAACCATAACACAAACAAGAGATAATAAGTAACTGTAAGTTCCCATGAATAGTTTATCGTAGATATATCGATTAATCAATAATCTTAATACTCTCCTGAAACAAAATTAACTAAAAGATATTGAACTTGAATGGCGAGCATAAAAAGCACTCCTCCTGCTAGTAGCATAGATGCTAAAATCGTAGAAGGTGCCATTTTGGATCTGTTTTTCGTTCAAAAATCAACGGATATCCGTATTTAATCCGAATTATCGGACGGATCGAAACACTAATACTTTGACAATTATTTAAGATAACCTATATCTATTTTTTTTTTTTATTAATATATACACAATAGATAAAGATTCAAAAAATCTGTTCATACTGTATTTGAGTGTATATAATCACACATAATTATATATTTTTATGGCCGATTATGTATTAGTCCTTGAGAAATTCTGTTATATAATTATATATTTTGTAGTATACGTATAACTATGTATAGGATGAATCACATGATTTATTGGTATTAATTTAATTGATTAAAAATTTTTTTTTCTGAATTTATTACGTACTACGTAGATAATCTAGTTTGAAAATTTTAAAACGATTAGTTACCAACCTGCAAACTTTTCGATTAGTCAAGTATCACTACGTACTGGAACACTGAAAAATAATGGATGCTCTTAAAATATCAAAAATCGCAAATAAGAAAGTTGGCGTTAAAACTTGTGATAGTTCGGGAAGAGGGATCTATGCAATGCAAAAGATATCACCCGGTATTTTTTCTAAAAAGCCATAAAAAATTTTTCTTGCATATTCAATATTTTCATATCTCAAAATCGTTCATGTTTATTCAAGCATTGGCGATATTGGTTGGTAGGTGACCTTATCATTCAAGATACTCCCTATGCGGCGGTAGTGGATGATGCCAATATTTCTGTGGCCTGCAGTGGCTGCTTTTCTAAAGGTGGTAGATTGTCATGTTGCTCAAATTGTAATGTGATTTATTATTGCTCTGAGGTACGAAAAAGGTTGTGACAAAAAAAAAAAAAAAAATCAATAAATTTTATTACAAAATTTCACATATATCAACGTTTAGGAATGTCAACGTAAGGATCGGCCATATCACCAACATGAATGTAAATCATTTGTTAAGCATAAACGAACGCCACCAGCTTCAATTCGCTTAATATGTCGAATACTGATGCATCGAATGAATGATCCGGCATCCGTTAGTATTGTAATATTTATGTTGTTGCCAATATTCATTGCATCTTTCAATTAATCTTCTTACTCCTTTAGTTCAAAGAGATTGAAGATCTCCAAAGCAGTATCCTTATTTGCTATATTCTTTGCATCCACATTTATAGTCATATTACTTATTACCTTGACATAAATCGCGTTACTTCTTAGATCGATCAATGTTTAAACAAGAACAACTTGAAACATTTGCTCAAATGTCTATGGTGGTTCGAGAATGCATCTCTCAAGATGCTTTGTTATCAGCTTCAGAAATGTTAGACTTATTTTGTCGGGTAATAATACTATGTGAATAAATCAAATTGTTCACTATGGCACTTTGTTAAAAATAATTATATAATTTTTTTTTTTTTTTTTTTAAGTTGACCGAAAATAGCTTCTCTATTTTGGATGGAGAAATGATTGCTTTTGGAGTTGGCATTTATCCTAATGTTTCTTTATTAAATCACTCTTGCCGTCCTAATTGTGTTGTTATTTTTGACAAATCAAAATTAATGGTGCGATGCATAGAACCAATAAATAATGATCAGGAGGTAATTTCATGTGATTAGAAAATGCTTTTGCATACTTTTGCAGATTAAAATATCAACATTTTATATTTGTAGCTAGTTATTAATTATGTGGATCTGAATCTGCCTGCAGAAGAACGGCGTAAAGAATTGCAGAAACAATACTTTTTTTGGTGTCATTGTGATTCTTGCGAATACTATAAGGTAATATCAATTCGATAATTAATGACTTAATGACTTAAATTTACTTTCGAATATTATCTAAAATTTAATCTAAATAATAATTTTAATGGACAGTCCAAAGATAATATTGACCCAAGAAGTGCGTTGAGATGTCAAAATTATAAATGTTCTAATGCCATTGAACCACCAAGTAATTTATATATTATATATATATTTTTTTTTGAGAATAAATAGGTTATTGGTTCGTTAAAAAAAAATATATTTTTTTTATGGGTAGGTTCGTTGGATTTAGGTGTAGAAGAATATACGTCAACATGTAAGGCCTGTTCCCACAATATACATTATGATGTAGTAGATGTAGAAAAACGTATATCCAAATCTCTTCAATTATACGAAAAAGGCACAAATTTACGCGATCAAGGTCAGATTTCATGTACAAATTTTATTTTGTTTACAATCGATTTAATGATTCATATCTTAAAACATTCTACAGATAATCTACAAGCCATGGCTTATTTTAAACAAGCTTTTGAAATTCAAAATACACTTCTCCATATGGCTAATCATAATTTAGTATCCACTCATAAAGATTTGTTTGATATTTATTATAATTTAAATAATTGGCCAGAGGCGCTTTCTCATTCTTTAGCACTCATTGATTCTTATCGTATTTTATATTCTCGAGCACATCCTTTACTTGGAATTCAACTTTACACTACCGCAAGAATATATATGTCAATGGATAATGTTGATATTTCTAAGATCGTTGAATTGCTTCGAGAAGCTTTGAAAATATTAGAAATATCACATGGGTTTAAACATCCTTTTACAAAAATGGTGGAAATGAATTTATGGGATGCGCACGGAGAACTTAATAGTAGGAAATGTTGATTGTAAATTTCCGATTTTGTTTACTTAGATCCAGCCTAAGAAATTTTAGTAAAATACACAATTATATTTAACTAGAATTTACAAGGATTTACTTATTATCATTACAATCGAAATGTAAAAAAAAAAAAAAAGGGCTTAAAATACATATATATATTTTTAATTTCATGTACTTAATTTCATGTACTAGTTCCTAGTTTCTCAGCACACCATCCAGTAACTGGTAAGCAACTTAAGTACTTACACCAAGGACATTTCTGATTTGGATCACCAGAATAAAAGTTTTCTATAAGGAAGAAAAATAGAAAAGCAGAACATACCACCGCGATTATTCTAAGAAATACATTAGCATATTTATGAATTTTTGAAAAATTATATGTTGGGTTTAAAGCGAGACCAGTAATTAGTCCCATAAGAAATCCACCTATATGAGAAAAGTTATCTAGACCGGGTAGGAGACCAAGTAAGAATGAAAAGATAATCATTAATAATAACTTCGTGAGCTCCCAGCATGGGTGCGGAATGAATTTCCAATTTTGTAAAACCTCTACTAGTAAAACACCAATGATACCAAAAAGAGAGCCGGATGCACCCATAGAAGCTGTCATGTGAATACAAAAATAAAAAAGGTTATAGCCCGAGTTGATTATGTAAATATTTAATATGTCGCTTATACGGGATCTTTTCTAGGAAAATCACCCTTCGACATTTTCCGATCGGATTAATTCGGAGACCAACATACCGGTTCTTTGCCTTTATTGATTCAATAGTTTATCGAATAATAAAGGCAAAAGATGATTTATATGCAAGAACCGGTATGTTGGTCTCCGAATTAATCCGATCGGAAAATGTCGAAGGGTATTTATTATTTTCATTAAAGGTCTCATATGTTAAATAATAAATACTTACGAATTAATGGCCCGGAAAAATTTCCTCCAAATATAAATCCGAATGTCCCGCTGGCCATATAGATAATACTATAACGCCACCATCCAATTTCACTTTCAACTTGTCTACCAGTCGTTAATTGGAATAACATGTTGAAAAGAAAATGTATTATACCAGCGTGAAGAAAAATGGGTGTTATAAATCGAAACCATTGATTAGGCCCCCCACCATGAAATCCCCCGAGACCACAAAATTCCTCTAATTTACAAGTAGTAGTCCCTGTAGACGTTTGGCATTGTATAAGAACAGAATTATTGAAGTCAGAAACGTCTCGCATACAAGGAACAAATCGAGCACCAAGTTGAACAAGAGCCTGAAATGAAATATATTTTAAAAACCAAATTACGTGATATAATTGTTAATTATATTTATTAGAAATGAATACTTACTTGCGCACTAGGACCAATCATAGGATTAAGAGGATTGGTCTGAAACGCGCTGCCAGTTAAATTTTGATTATAAATAAATGAATAAATCAACATAAATATTTGCACGGCAGTGGCAACATAAGTAAAGTATGCTCTTTTCAATGGTCTTCGTTTAGGCTGAGGTTGATATTGTGGTACTGCTGGAGCACCAGTTCCTTGTTCAATTTGTCGTCCAGACGTATCATAACCGCCTGGTTCGCCTGAAGTATTATGATAAGCTCCGTTTCCATATTGTCCATACTGACTATGTTGTCTCTCACGAAGTTGTTTGTCCAATTGTTCACGATCTTCACGATACAAACGTCTAGCATATTCTTCGTCACTTTCAGTCGCTAAAGCTTCTTTATTTCCAGAAGTTTCATGTTTATCTCCAAAATCAATAACAGATGCTGGTGGTGCACTAGGTGCAGTATTATGCTGGCTATCGGAAGATGCCCAGAAGGAAGGGTCACTAGGACTCACTCCCTTTTCTTCGACACCAGCACCTCTTGTATCATAACCTTGACCTTGATGATAATATTGGTTCCACCCGCTTTGTTTGGACATTATAGAGTTAGAAGATGGATTTGACTTAGACGTGTGCTTCACACGATGTTAAAATAAAATAAGTAAATCATACTATAGTTAAAACCAGATGTTACACGAACCCTATTTAGAATTCGTTATAATTTATTTATTAATAGCGATTAGATCACCACGATCATAACATTTTCAGGAATTCGGATAATGATAATTAAAGTAAAAATAGCCACATTACAATTTTGGTAATATTTTGCCCATATATTGATAATAAAACACTTACGGAATCTCATACTAAATCAAAGGCTGAGTATTGGCTGTGCAACACATCTTAATGGAACTGACAAATGAAGAAATCTTTATACAAATTTAAAACAAGAAATTCCGATCTTTTTTTATTAACGTTAATGGCTTATTGTATGCCTATTTATGTCTATAATAAATATGAAACAATTATGTTTTAACAATGAACTTTGATTTATTGCACCCTCAAGAATTATATGTCAGATGAGAGACAACTATTTAGATCATTATATAATGTCTACTATTATTTCTTGTGTGGCTCTCATGACACTACTAAAGAGAATCTGAAATCTGCCTTTCCAATATCTCATGTCTAAAGTTGAAGGCTTGATTAATTATCTATGCAAAAGAAATTTTACAATTTTTATTTTTAGAAAAACAAAAAGGATAAATTAATAAATCAAAGTGAATAATTAATTTGACATACTTGTTCCATGTCCAGAGAAGGTAATCTTAATAGCAATGTCCTAATTTCCGATTGTTCCAACTCCTCAAGATTTTCTTTGGTATGTTTTAGCACAGCTGAAAGGTCAAATAATAGTTATTTTCGGGAGATCAAGCGAATTCAAAAGGTAATGATC